GAGAGGCTGGGAGAGCGGGGGCTGCTCAGCGTGGGGAGGAGAAGGCTGCGGGGAGACCTGAGAGCAGCTGCCAGTGCCTGGAGGGGCTGCAAGAGAGCTGGAGAGGGGCTGTGACAAGGGCCTGTAGTGACAGCACGAGGGGGAATGGCTTTGGACTGAAGGAAGGGAGATTTTAATTAGGTATAAGGAGGAAATCCGTTGCTCTGACGATGATGAAGCGCTGGCAGAGGTTGCCCAGAGAAGCTGTGGATGGCCCCGTCCTCGCAACCTGTTGGACCGGGCTTTAAGCACCCTGGGCCAGTGGAAAGGGTCCCTGCCCATGGCAGAGGATTGGAACGAGATGGTCTGTAAGGTCCCTTCCAACCCAAGCCATCTTGTCATTCTGTGTCTCAGAAACAAAGACCGTGGAGAGTACATGCTCCTGTCTTCTAACACAGCCCTAGGGTCAGTCCGTGCAAGGCAGGAAAGCCAGGCGGTCGCTGAGGGCGGTCATAGTTCGTATGAAACCGTGCTGCCCCCAGACCCGCGCCGTGGTTGTAGCAGCAGCTGGGGGTGTGTTTCATCACCCGCGTTGCAGCAGCCTGCTACTGTGTGCCTCCGGCTGGCTCGTCGAGCACTCCGTGTTGCTTTTTGCCTTGCATCCGATTCACCACTCTAAACCTGCTTGAGTCTGCAATCAACTGCTGTGACGACGTGAAGATTCTGCATCTCAGCTGAGGGCAGAACAGCAGCTCTAAACGGAAAGTTGAAAACAGTTCAAACTTATGTACATCATGCCTGGATATCTCGTATTAATAAAGAATTTCAACTCAGTGCTGGTGTGCCAGAGTATTACTGAGTCTTGGTACTTTATGTTAAAATTAGTGGAAAAGATGTTTTAAAATCCTCTAAATACAAGTTTTTTGTATTCAGAGCATCAGTGAAGTGGTTGCTGAATATTCTTTGCTTACTGGTGGGTGTTAGTTATCTTGGGACACATTTTTGAAAGGCCCTATCAGAAGGGAGAAAGATTTGCTGTCCTTGGTTGCATAATTGCAAGAAAAAAGCAGTGACCCAAAGAGAAATCCTGAAAATACTGTTTGCTGTCTTAGAATAATGAAAATACAGGAAGCAAGTGGGCTGAATTTTAAATAGAGCTGAAGTAATTCTGCGAGGGTGCCTGGGGACTGTAACTCCAGAAAAACAGAGCTTGGACACCGGAGACGATTCTTTGTAATTATAGCCACCTTGACCTTGCAGATGATCTCATCGGTTTTTTTAGTGACTTGGAAGCATAAATGAGCTATCAGAGTGATTTTCTAGTTGCAGTGTATTTCTCTAAGCTTTCCATTTATGCATTTGTAAAAAAATTACTGGTTTTATTTGTCTTTCAGGAAAGAGAAGAAATACATAGATGAATGCTGGAAAAATGTCAACGTTGGGGACTTCATCCGGCTTTCACGTAATGAAATCATTCCTGCTGACATGGTGCTGCTGTATTCTAGTGACCTGGATGGGATCTGTTACATAGAAACAGCAAGCCTCGATGGAGAAACCAACCTAAAGCAGAGGCAGGTGGTGAGAGGATATTCAGAGCAGGTGATCATTGTGTATTTCTGGTAGTATAAGAACATTGACATGACAGGCGGTCAACTAAAAAAATCCAAACAGCCCAGCCCTCTAGATTGCCTGATTCTTGATAGCTCAGCAATCCCCATCTGAAAACTAAATAACTAGGTAACCTAGTTCTAATTTGTTGCTTGAGTGTTTTCTGGAGCAAATCTTTGCATGTTTGCTTAACCCAGAGAGAGATCTATTTCAGGTAATGCAAGCCAGTGAAAAGAACTGTTCAGGTAAAGGTCACGAAGTCATTTATTGTGCGTATCATGTCATGGGTAGAGAAACTGGAGTTTTTTTAGAAGGAAGTTCTGTGCTGTTTAAAAACCTAAAGAGAGGACCAGATATTATCTTCTCTCTTTCACTGTTTTCTCGTATTGTGAATATATTTTTACTTCCATACAATACTTAGTATTATACCTAGCAGACAAAATGCTGGAGGCTGACACAAAGAAGATGATATCAAAAGAACAAAGAATCCTGGCATTTGTGCCATCTTCAGCACACCTGGTACTGAGTTCTGCTGCTGAAACACTGTGCTGACAACAGGGACACTCGGCGCAGTCTGTAGTAGCAGACTGTTCAGTCCTCTGGAGATAAAACTACCTGAGCTGCCTCTGAGTTGTCAGCAGTGGTGAGGAAGTGAGGATACCACCTTTTTGTGCATTAAGACTCCGCTGTTACTTAGCAAGTGTGGTAATACTAAAGGCGTGATGTGATATCCATGAACAAAGCTGTTTCCTATGCCCAAACAGTGACATAAATTTTTGAATTTTTTTTTCTTTCTTGATTTAATTTTAAAACAATAAGGGAGAAAGAATTGTTTCATCTTTCTGTATATACATACCGTTACGCAAGGCAATGTTGTCAGAGCATGCAGGGATGCAACGAGGAAGGCCAAGGCCCACCTGGAATTGAAGCTGGCAAGGGATGTCAAAAACAACAAGAAGTGAGGATGGTTAGCTGACCCAAGCACACGTTCACTGGGGTGGAGACACTAACGTGCCGTTAGCACTGAGTCGCGGTGAGCGTGAATGTTTCCTGGTACGTTATGAGAGAGGCCCCAGGACTGCACTGCTCAGTTCCCTCTCGGCCTGCGTGGTCAGTGGCTGGATCCAAACCTAGCTGCAGCATCCGCAGACCTAGTGGAGAGGAAACTGCTGACCTTTTCTTCCAGGCAGCCTAAGAAGCCAAGCTGATGAAAGGAGTTGCCAGCTCTCCTCTTCCACTTGGCCATGCACCCTCTCCATTCCCATGCCATGTTATCAAACCGTAGTTTTTCAGCAACGCAGCATGGCCAAACACGCAAG